CAGGCTTCCAGCTGCCAGCACAGAGTCCAGTGTGAGCCTTGAACTCACGAACCTTCAGATCATGACCTGAGCTAAAATTAAGAGTTGGATGCTTAAGGGGCACCTGGGTGGCTTAGTCGGTTGAGCGTCCGACTTTCGCTTAGGTCATGATCTCGCAGTTCGTGGGTTTGAGCCCTGCGTCGGGCTCTGTGCTGACTGCCAGGTCAGAGCCTGGAGCCTGTTTCAGTCTGTGACTCCCTCTCTCTCTGACCCTCCCCTGCTCACGCTGTCTCTCTCTCTCCTAGAAATAAATAAAAATATTAAAAAAAAAAAAAAAGAGTTGGATGCTTAAGTGACTGAGACACCCAGGTGTCCCCAACTCTAGATTCTTATCCAAATGCATGATTTGTGAATTTAAAACCTTACAGAGTATTAATGGATAACGTGTGGTTGTAAATAGTTCCTTAGAGATAAATTCTTTTTGTTTTTTTCTTTTTATTTTTTTTGATAGCAGTTCATTTTAAAAATGTCTTTGGGGGCACCTGGATGGCTCATTCAGTTAAGCTTCCAACTTCTGCTCAGGTCACGATCTGATGGTTCATGGGTTTGAGCCACTCATTGGGACGTGCGCTGACAGTGCAGATCCCAACGTGAAGCTCAAACCCATGAACCCTGAGATCATGACTTGAGCTGAAACCAGGAGTCGGATGCTTAACCTACTGAGCCACCCAGGCGCCCCCTTCCACGTTTGTATCTGTTTGAAACCCCAGCAATTACATTTTCTTCCTTTCTTCTTTTTTTGCTTCCACATTCCTTGTTTTCTCCTTTCCTTCATTTCTTCCTTTTCTCATGAGGTTCTCTACCTTAGGTTAGTCACGTAAGTAAATTCAGTGTCTGTCTGATTCCTCTATTTCCCTTAGTAATGTCCTCACATTTGAGCATGTTGTTTAATTTGAAAAGATCGGTTTCCTGTTAGAAGGTTGATACTATTCCGGTAGTTTGGAAGACAGTGTTTAAGATGTGAGTACACGGCCTTCTCGGTGTGGGCCTCCCTGAAGAAGCTTCCTCCTGGTTGTCTCCCCGCTCATCCCTCTGCTGTTGGCTGCTGAGCAGGGAGGGGGTGCTGCTGTGCAGGGAAGGGGTGCTGCTGTGCAGGGAGGGGGTGCTGCTGTGTAGGGAAGGGGTGCTGCTGTGCAGGGAGGGGTGCTGCTGTGCAGGGAGGGGTGCAAGAGCTCCTGTCTCCAGGCCCCGCACAGACCAGGTGTGGCCACTTATTCCTGACAAAATCCAAAGGCAGAGAGATGAGAGGTGGTGAAACAAAGGGAGTTACCTCAGGGAGGCCGACACTGGGAAGAGAGCTGATTAAGGTCTCAAAGACTGTGTCCAATGTGCTGGAAATACTTCAGGCTTATGTAAGGCAGATGGGCCGAGAGTGAGTGCGTACCTGCAGGTGGTCAGTGAAAGGTAAAGGTGTCCGTGTCTAGGAGTCACTCGGGGCTGGGGTCTTCCTGGCCCAGGGCAGTCCCTATGGCTTGAGCGGGTAGTTCCAGTTCCCCTCAGGGGGCTTTGTCCTCAGGGGCTCCCTCCTGAGCCAGGAGACAAGCCGGAAGGAACCCACTGGGAAAGTTTGAAGTCAACATGGAGGCAGCCAAAGTCCTCTTCCTTTGCTCTTGGACTTTGTCAGCCGTGAGTGGCAGAAGTGGGTCTGTCTGGGGCCACTGGAGCCCGTGCTCTTGCACCCTTGGGTCCTGCTCACAAAGTAATTACCTCAGTGGATCTAATAAGCACATCCCTCACCTCCCGCAGTTAAGATTTTCTGTGTATTTGTGGTGATGCTGTGAAGATCTTGGGGTTTGGGAGTAAACACACAAAAAGAATTCTGGAGACATCTCCTGTGTAAAGAGCATGGTTTTATTAAAGCAAGACAGGACCTGTGTAGCCGCACTGGGGTTAGTAGCAGTGGCCAGTGATACACTTTCAAGTTGGGAGGGGGTGGGGATAGGGACAGCTGAAGTCTCTAAGGAATTTGGAAGCAAGGTTTCAAGGACCTTGCTGTTATTTCAAGGTCTAGCTGTTATTAGGTGAAGATCATTTTTTTACCGTCTAGTAAAGCCTCGGTCATGAGACCCTTCAGATATCTATCAGCGGGCCATAAGTTTGGAGGATCATTGCTACCATATATCTTGGGGGGTAAAGATAAAGGAAGGTTCCCAAGTGGTTTGTATACGTTAAAGGAGAATTTACAGGCTCCTGGAGTTGGGCTAATGTCAAACTAAGGTTTGCCTTTTGCCCTCGGCAAAGTGTCCACATTGAGGCAGTTGCGCTCCTGGGGGAAAGTCACCCCGCCTGTCTCAGCAACTTGTCAGTGGGCTGGAAGCTGCAAGAAGACTGTTCTTTTTTCTGTTGTCTTTGTTCTCCACCCCAGTGAGAACACTTGGATAGCCTCTCCCAGCAAATCTTCAGCGTCCATTAGCTCTAGTCCCCCTGCCGAAAACGTTCAGTGCTTATGCATCTTGCATCCTTTACCATTTGATCACAAGTCTGAACATTCCCCCATCTTCAGCCCCTGGCAACACACATGGTTGTCTTTTATAACCTTGTCTCTTTTAGATTCCACATATATGTGCTTTCATGCAGTCTATATTTTTCTCTATATTTATATTTAACTTAAGAAAACGTTCTGTAAGTTTATTCTGTTGCTGCATAGAAAGGGTTTCCTTTATTTCTGAGGCTGATATACATCCCAAGGATAAATTAGATGAGGAATCTCTCTACCAGGAAAAGAGCTAATACCAGAGATTAACTTTTATATCGTAAATAATTGTCTGCCTGGCATGCCAAACGTTTAACAAATATTTGCTCTTTTCTTTTTCCTGTGAATGTACTTCCCACCTTTTTGAAATTCTCACCCCCCACCCCCTTCTCCTTAATTCAAAATGGCACTTAAGCACCAGCTGCTTGCTTTTGAGCCTCATATATCTTGAGGTTCCCAGGTTCCCATAATTAAGAAATTACTTTTCTTCTCTGTGAACTTGTCTTGTATCATTTTAATTATTAGAACCGCCAAAGAATAGAGAACAGATCAAGAAAAATGTTTTCCTCTCGTCCACATTCATTCTGTTGTCAAAAACTGACCTCTGTGCCTGAGTCAAAATATACTGAAGACAGAGTTTGAGATAAAGAGGAATAATAGCTTTTTTTTTTTTTGCTTTGCCAGGCTGAGGAGGCTGAGGCAGGCTAGGGCCCTCAGAATTCCAAGCCCACCCAGAGGAAGGGGCTGGTGTGGGGGTGGGGGGTGGCGAGTTGTAGAGAAATACAGGATCTATCCGGTTTCGACAGGAATTGTTTGTGCTGCCATCCTTGTTCATCACGTTTTCTGGGTGGTACCGGCTTCCTGAAGAAAAGGGCTAAATAAAAAAGGAGGAGGGGAGGTTTGTGAGAGGAAAAAAATGGGATTTCGTGTAAAGTCAAGACGTGCTGTTTTAGTGCAGTCATATTTATGTTTGTGCAGCGTTATGCTTTTAAAGGTATTCAGTTTGAGTCACCAGGACAACTGTAGTAAGACTACTTCATATTTTACAGTGAGGAAGCACTGAATATTTTCTGGAAAGACTAAAATAAAGGGGAAAAGGTAAACCCAAATTGCCACCAAAATTCGGAGATTTTAGAATTCCCATATGTTACTGATGGGAGTGGAAAATACACATTCGCTTTGGAAAACTGGCAGGGACTTGGGAAAATAAACATTTCCCTTCTGAAGAGGGGGAGCATTTTGTCAGCACAAAATATGTCTCTGCCATAAGGGTTATTTTCGGCTGGTTATTTTAAAGATGCAGCAGACAAACGGAAAGCTCTGAAACCTGGTGTAAATTTCCTTTTGTAAGAGGCATTTACATGTATAAGGGGAGGCTGCATTTGAATGAGTGTCTCCCTCGGGGTAGAGAAAAGAGGGAGAATGTGTAAATTTCCAGAAACTCTGATCAGTGGAGAAGGCGTGGATTTAAATCTGGGAAAAGACCATACCCTCGATGACTGTTTTTTGCTGGGTCACTTCCCCAAATGCTTCCCAATAGGGTAACCGTGTGGAGTTCGAAAAATGAGATCTGCTCCCTTCCCCCTCGGATTCTGTCAAGTGGTGTGGGTGGGAAGGATAGCAATATTTTATTTATTTTACTGTTATTTATACAGTATTTTTTTAAGAGGCCGCGAGCGAGAGAGAGCGCATGCGCAAGCGGGGGAGGGGCAGAGGGCGAGAGAGAATGTTAAGCAGGTTCCACGCTCCGAGCCGAGACCCGTCCGTGGCTCGGTCCCACCACCCTGGCATCGTGACCTGAGCTCACACTGAGACGGACGCTGAACGGCTGAGCCTCCAGGCGCCCCAAGTGTTGTTTGTTTGTTTTTTGGGGTTTTTTTTTTCCCCCTTTTTTCTTGACTTAGAGCAAGCGAGAGAGAGACAGCGTGAGCGGGGGAGGGACAGAGCTAGAGAGAGACTCTTAAGCAGGCTCCCTGCTCCGCGTGCAACCTACAAAAAGCTGGATCCCGCGACCCTGGGATCACGACCCGAGCTGAAATCGGGAGACGGAGGCAGAACCGACTGAGCCGCCCTGGTGCCTCCCAAGTGTTATTTTAATTAACTGCATCAGGTGATTCAGAATGAGGCCAGGGTTCCGCGGGAAGGCTTCCGATTAATTTATGAGAGTTGAGTGCGGTCTTTGGCTCAAGGGGAGGTTATGGGGTGCCCTCTGTAGGAGTTGGGGAGGGTCAGGGCCGTGCAGCTCACTGCTCCCACGCTGTAGCCTAAGTTGGGGGTGTCTGTGGGAGAAGAAGCCCCCTGCAAGCAGAGAAGGCGAAACTCAGAGATAGGTCTGCAAGGAGGAGCTCAGAGTTTCTGAATAGCTCAGGACACAAAGGACTAGGAAGTTGGGTCGTTTTTGCATTACAATGTCCTGCCTGCAGGCGTGCAGTTTACTGGGGAAGAGGCTGTGTTGGTGGCGTTTTAAAGCATTTTTTTCCTGATGCAGCTGTGATTTCACCACAAAAATCTACTGGGAAAGAAATCTAGCGGACGAGGTGGAAGAAGACGACAATGGCCAGTTCTCAGGTAAGCCTGGCGTCCCACGTCAGAAGCCATGTCCTCTTTCTCTCCTGAAATTCCCTGCTTTTAGAAATTGCAAGTGTTGGTTCTTCTAGACCTGGTGTTTCTGCTTTGTTTTCACCTAATTTTTAAGCCTTTTCAAAAATCATACTCAAGTTTAGTTCTTTAGAGGACTGTTTTTTTATATCCCAGAGACTTCTCTTTTCCAACCTGGCTTCCAGGAGGACCTCAACAACTGTCCCTTGGAGTTAAAGTCCTGCAAGTATTGAAAATACTCCCCTTGTGACAGATCCCCAGGGGAAGTTGAGGAGTCCAGAATTCCTATTGCTGATGGGGTCTGGTCCTGGGATTTCAGTCAACGAAAACACTTCCCATTTAGGTCCGATCTGGATGATTTATCAGCTGTGTAGACCCGGGTTAAGAAAATGAACAAATACACAAGATGGATATGAGGCCCAGAATACTCCGAGAGTTGTGCAAATAAAAAAGGGCAGACTTGGTCTTTAGAATGTGAAAAAGCTACTCTATTTAAAATATACCAGCTATTCTAGGACCTGGAAGTGATATGTGATTAAAATTTGGCTAAATCCACTTTTTCCATAATTAGATTTATATTCTGAATTCCTGTTTGGGGGCCAGGAGGACACAGTGACCAGATGTCCTTTGGACACATCACCTTGCTTCCTTACAGCTGATGTTCCCCTTTTTTGGCTTGGGTTGGTGCTCTCTGCCAGACTTCTCTCCAGATTTCATTCATATATTCCCTCGTTCCATTCCTGAGGACCTTAGATGGATTTACTGAGCAATGTGGAGAAGCCAGCACATTTAAAATGGGAACTTTTTTCTCCTGAGTTTCCCTTTGCTTGTAGTTTCTGTTAAGGAGAACAAAGGTGAAAGAAACGTAGATAAAATAAAATTTCCTGACAACTTGCAGGTAGAGGCCAAAAAAAAAAAAAAAAAAAAACCATCCTAAGCTTTACAACAGCGAGACCCTCAGGGTCCCCTGAGTCCTCTTTAACCTGTGAAAATTCCTTTACAAGCTTCCCTCACCCCAGAACTTGAAAGTAGACGATTATTGGCTCTTAACTGTCCCCACGCTTTAATGGGAACAGCTTTTTGTAATGAATGTGTCTCAAGAATTCTGTCTTGACTTTCGGTTCCCGGGCCCACATGGCCTCAGTTTCCACTCGACAACGTTTGTGTAGTAGAGGTGGTGACTTCTGGGACTGGAGATTCTAGTTCAGTCATACCTCCATCCTGTAGGCTTTTATTTTACTCCACGCTATTGTCACAGACATTCTCTTTTACTTACTTGTCATTTCAAGAGAAGAAAAGAAGAATCCCGTAGTTAACATGCTCGGGTCTCTTAAAATCATGAAGTATAATAGAGCAAAAATGAGGACTGAAACAAAACCCATCAGTGAAATACCATATTGTGGGATCACTGAGCACAACTGTCAAGAAACAATTCTTGAGACGTTTTATGGTGCATGTTTCTAATTTTATTTCAGTGGCTTGGGAACAGCAGCCTTGGGCAGAAGGAGCTACACATTGGCTGTATGAAGCTGGGGGTTATATGCTAAGTGCTCACGGGGCAAGGGGACGTGTAGCGAGTATTAGATTATTAGTGTTTCTTGGAATTTCTACTTGGAAAGCTACTTTTGCAAGGTTCTTCTGGTGTTTGTCATTCATTTCAATATTAGCCATCGATGGGATGTAAGAATTCGATCCTTAAGCACGAATTCGATCCTTAAAGAAACCATACAGGCTAGAGGTCAGCTTTCTGGGCTAAAGGTGAACAGTTTACTGCTTGTATCTATCACCATACCAGGCTCAGATATAAACACTATCTCATTCTGTGTGATTTTTGTGAATAAATGAAGCATCATCAGGCACAAAGAGATGGGTTTTATGTCACTGAAAATGTTGTTTCATTTAAGTCACCATGACAGTTTTCTACTCTGTCACTTTTAATGTGTATATAATTACTTCCTAAATGTATGGATGTGCGCAGGAAGTGGAAAAAGGTAGATCAGTTTTGTGTTTCCATCACTCTTCTCAGGTTTGACACCTTTATGAACAACTCTATAGGGTCCTCTCTGTATACTGACCTGTGTGTCATTTTAGATCAACCTTAGGGCAGATAACCTGAGTTACAGCCTGATCCCTTCCACATATTTTTGTTCTCAGAGTATTAGTATTTATTCTTCATTAGTTTATGAAAAAGTTAGATGCTCACTAGTATGAAATACTTAAATTGTTGGCTTTCTTGCTATTCCAGTAGAACCTGTAATTGCCAGTTAAACCCATTCAGTTCCCAGTCCTCCAAGAATTCTTGCCTTGGAGTTCTACCTTTGTTATTCAAAAATGTATCCCTTGGCCCAAAGGCTAATTAATTAATGGCTTGTTAGAAATGCAGACTCCTGATACCATCCCAAAAGTCCTGAACAGAATCTGCATTTTAACAATTCAATTTTAATTTAATTTTAATTTTTTAAATTTAATTTTAATCTTTATTGAATTTTAACAATTCAGTACACTGTAGTGAAATTCTCATTCACCTTAGAGTTTGATAAGTACATTTGTAACCCGCTCAAACTTTGCATCTAAGAAATAGACAAAACTTCTACTGTATTGATACAAATTCAGTATTTTAAAATGTGTATTCCTGTATTGATGCCTTCATTTCAGAAATTCTCTTTGGTAAATACAGTATTTATAGTGTTTTTGTGAGTCATATGGCAGCCTCCTAATCTCAAAGTTAGAGAATACATTAGAATACATCACCGTCTTAAAAATCACTGCATAAAGCAAGGAACTCACCTATGCCAGCACCAGTTCTCCTAACATAACTGTACTAACAAGAGCTCACTCCTTGCTGACTCACAGATAGAAATACACTAGCCGGGGTTGTCCCACAAAGGAAACTTGATTTTCAGCAAATTAGGAGAACACGGAATAGTTTCCAAAGCAGAGGCTCACAGAAGAAGGGGGAATGGTTTCTTTTGAGGGTTAAGGTGGATATTTAGAAAGGGGAGTCTTGCCATCTTACGTAGAGGTGGGCGTACTGTCCACCAAGTGCCTTAGGAAAACAGGTCTGTAACACCATTCCTGTTACATAAGTGAGGCTTGTGCTCTTCCTCCTTGGGTGGAGATTTTAGTATTATAATGAATAATGGCAGCTGTCACTCCTAGATTACTCTTGGATCCATCTGCAGTAGATGGGAGTCAGGGGTTAAGGTCATATTAGGCTAGCCCAAGCTCTTCCTCAGGGCAGTCATTACCTTTTGTTGGATACTTTCTGTTTCCACCACTGGAGTTTGCCCATGGGTTTTTTTGCCTGAAGTAAAAGATAAGTTAGAAGGAAGAGGTTAAGTAAAAATGAGGTACTAAGATCTGTGAGTACATGCAGGTAAGCAGCGAAGGTCAGGTCTTGGGTCCAGCTGGTGACATTAACTCCCTCTTTCATCTTAGGTTACCATTATGAATGCTGCCTGTAGCCACTTGGTAACTGTGGTATTTATTGCAGGAACTGCTGACGTTCAGGGATGTGGCCATAGAATTCTCTCAGGAGGAGTGGGGATGCCTGAACGTCGTTCAGTGGGAACTGTACAGGGATGTGATGTTGGAGAACTATGGACACCTCCTTTTCCTGGGTGAGGATAACTCCTTCTAAGCTTCCCAAATCACACTCTGGGTTTTCGTTCCTTCCTTTGAAGACTCTCTTGGAAGCTTCCTCTTTGCATGACTGGAATTCAGATCCCTGCAGTAAGGGAAAGAAGTAGGGGTTTGAAGATAGAGAAATATCTTCATGATGTTTCTTTTTCAGCTTCAGCTTCCCCTTCCTTAAGTTACCATCATCTCTGTTGATGAGTGGCCATTCTAAACATTGAATGGCATAACAAGGTACTGCCCACATCTTTAACTCCCAAGTTCTACCTTGTATCTAGTATTTACAAACGGAGATCAAGATGTGAACATTAGAAATCCTTCCTGCATGCTGTAAAGGGGTTTTTGGGAAATCATTTCCAAAAATTCTACACGGTGTCCTCTCCTGTCTGCTGAACACAACAGTGGGTCGAAAGTTAGAATCCCCATCAATACTCTGTTCGTTTTCTCTAATAAACAGGTCTTGCTGTGTCAAAGCCAGACCTGGTCATCTTTTTGGAGGAAAAGAAGGAGCTGTGTGATGTGAACGAGAAGGAAACCATAGCCATACCCCCAGGTAGGTGGGAGTGAATGATGCGGATGACAGAGGTGAGGTCTAGTCTTAAAGGAGGAAGAGAGGCCTTAAAATGTGGTTTAAGCAGCTCTCCTTGAATGGAAATTAGAAGCCTGGGTTTAGGTCTCTCCCTTCCCCAGCGAGATATCTGCTATCTAAAACATATCATGCTCTTACATTCTTTGAGGATTCTCCTTCAGCTCCAGTGATGGTCCATCACGTTCACAGTGAGGGCCAGGAGACTTGCCTTGCGGTGTGAGGGCCTCTGTATTCTGAGAGCTGCTCCATTGCTTTGAGGGCCCTGGGGAAGTCTCCATATTTCTGAGGATCTCCATGCTAAGCCCTGTCTACGTTCTGCTTTACCTCCTGTGAGACGTGTGTTAGGGTAGTGGTGGGCATATTGGGGTTTGGTGCAGAAACCTGGGAACATGAAACAGCTGTCACATGTTTTGTGGTTTATGCTCTCCATTGTTACAGAGCCTTTCATGTTAATTATATGTAATTGAGGCTCAATATTTTCATCAGAGAAGAAAGCACGTCCCTAAAATGAGAAAATCTAATCCTTTATTTCTTATCAGAAGTTCATTTGTCTTTCTGTTAACTGAAATTAGAAATTCTCACTCTGCGTTCCATTCCTCACTGGTGAAGTAATTTTAACGTATCCATGTCTATCCTAGAGTTCCTACAGAAATTAATGCCATAGGGAAGCTACAACACAGCCTGTAATGAAGTCTCAGTGGTCACTATAGTTCTTCATAATTGCATCATTTTATAACTTAATGAAGTTCTTGTGACTTTGTCATTTGTGTTTTTGTTTTCTGACTAGTTATATATGAGATTAGTCTCTGAATTTTTAAAGTTTTATTTAATGTTTACTTCTATTTGAGAGGGAGAGAGAGACAGTGAGCAGGGGAGGGGGCAGAGAGAGAGGGAGACACAGACCTTATGTGGGTTCTGGGCTCCGTGCTATCATCCAAGCCCAGGGCAGGGCTCGAACCCAAAAAGGTTGAGATCATGACCTGAACAGAAGTCGGATGCTCAACTGCCTCTGCCACCCAGACTCTCCATTAATTGCCAAATTTTAAGATCAAAAGTTCTGATATGTTATTGGCATATGCTTATAAGGAGTTGGTAATTAGTAAAATTGCCATATTTTAAAAAGTTTTCTTTATAATATAATTTTACTTCAGGGGCGCCTGGGTGGCTTAGTCGGTTAAGCGTCCGACTTTCGCTCAGGTCATGATCTCGCGGTTCATGGGTTCGAGCCCCGCGTCGGGCTCTGTGCTGACTGCCAGCTCAGAGCCTGGAGCCTGTTTCAGTCTGTGACTCCCTCTCTCTCTGACCCTCCCCTGCTCACGCTGTCTCTCTCTCTCTCTCTCCTAGAAATAAATAAAACATTTAAAATATATATATATATATATAATTTTACTTCAGAAAAAAATAACCAATAGGTTTCTCTTCTGTTTTCCTAGGAGTGTTTCTGAATTTAATCCCCAATACTTGTTTTTCTTAAAGTGATTATCAACATTTTTTACAGCTCTGGTGGTGTTTCATTATTTACAAATAAAAGAGGTATTATTTTTCTGTCTGCTTGGTTCTAAAGAATGGATTATAGCCTCACCTTCTTTGTACAAGGAGGAATATTCTAATAACAATACAGTTTTTTACTGTCTTTTCAGGGCTTATTTATAATACTCTTCATTAAAACTTTCCATGGTTGCTTTTAATGAATACTGTTTGTTATTTTACCATCAAGGAAGTCCTACCAGTAATTGACAATGCTATTTTTTATGGGTACACAGTCACAGTTTAAAATTATAGTTACATAGGAGGTTGTCTTTTAAAAATTAATCTATCATTTATTTATTTTTATTTTAATGTTTATTTTTGAGAGAGACAAGAGTGTGAGTGGGGGAGGGACAGACAGAGGGAGACACAGAATCTGAAGCAGGCTCCAGGCTTGGAGCTGTCAGCACAGAGCCCGATGCGGGGCTCGAACTCATGAACTGGGAGGGAGATCTTGACCTGAGCTGAAGTCAGATGTTCAACCAACTGAGCCACCTAGATGCGCCTTCAACTATTTTTTTTAAATGTGGTTTTTTTTTTGTTTTTTTTTGTTTTTTAGTTTATTTTATTTTGAGAGGGGGGAAAGAAAGCGTGCGCAAAGGGGAGAGGCAGAAAGAGGAGGGGGGACAGAGGACCTGAAGGAGACTCTATACTGGCAGCAGCGAGCCCCATGTGGGGCTTGAACTCGCAAACTGTGAGATCCATGACCTGAGCCGATGTCAGACACTCAACTGAACCACCCAGGCGCCCCTCATCTGTTTTTTATGTAGAATTTTTTTGGGTTAAGTTTTGTCTTACTGTGGTTTTGCAGTTGTGAATAATGTGTTTCCTTTGTTGTGAACTTGCACAACATAATTTAGTTGTGATTTCATTTTTGCCTGTGTTTTTTGTGGTAGGATGACAATTTTCCACTTAGTAGATTTTAAGATCATGTGAGTTTAACTCAAATATATTTGTATGAATATCATACATGCATACTTGTGACTCATGTTGTTGATTTTTGTTCCTTGGTTAGTGTTCATTGAATGTTGTATCATGTGTACATGAATTGTTCTAATAATAAAATATTCTTTTTCCCCTAAGGTCTACTGAGAATCCCAGCAATAATCTTACAGCTCTCTTGTATGAGATGCCTTTGTCGTACTGTTTTCAGATTCTCTTTTCATCTGTGACTTTTGATAGGTTAATTATAACGTGTCACTGTGTTCATGTCTTGATATTTATCCGACTTAGAATTCAGAGTTTTTGAATTTGTCTCTTTCCACATGTGTTGGAAGTAGAAGCCTATAGTAGTTCTTCATGTAAACTCTGCCCCCTTTCATTCTCCTCTCCTTATGGGGTTCCTTTAATGCACATGAGTTCGCTTGTTGGCGTCCCATGAGTCCACATTGTTCTTGGCTCCTCTCAGTAGTTAATTTAAAACAAGGGTCTTTAAGTTGTTTAATTCTTTCTTCTGCTTGATCACTTCTGTTGGTGACTCCGTAGTGTATTTTTAAATTCAGTGATTATACCCTTCAGCTCACAGTTTCTAGGTTGATTGTTAGGCTTTTTGTCTCTTTGGGTTTACGTTCTGGCCACGCATAGTCTTCCTGACATCATTTAGTTACGTCTGTTTTCTTGCCTTCTCCCATGAGCGTCTTTATGATGGTTATTTGAATTCTTTGTCAGGTAATTAATAGTTCTTCTTCAATTTAGGGTCAGTCTTGGAGATTTATTTTGTTCCTCTGGTTGGAAGTTTCTCTACTTTGTATGCTTTGTGATCTTCTGTTCCCATTTGGGAGTTTAAGAAACAGCCTCTGAGCCCGTTCTTCTGAACTTGCTTTCTATAGGAGAACCCAAATAAGATTTCTGGTGCTTGTCACATGTATTCTGGGCATTTGTATTGTCTGAGTTTTTGTAATTTCTCAGTTTACAGAAGTGGAGTTACTTCTTCAGAGCCTGTGATAACCTTCCTCTCTGTCTTCAGCTCTGTAGTCTCCAGTGTCTGGACAAATGCTCACGGCTTATGTCACCAGCCACCATGGTGCATCAGAGGGCTCTCTCATTCTCTCCGTTCCTTGTCACGCAGAACAAAGACAAGTCCCCCAGGCAGCTGCAAAGCAGCCAGATAATTGCTCATGTCTGTCTCCTGAGCAGAGTTGAGATTTTTCTCACTGTCTTACTGCGGAGTGCGGGGGAGAGTGAACAGCTGTTGTGTGCAAGCGTCACAAACTGTCCTTGTCTCTTCAGTGTGCTTCTTCATTCGTACTTGCCTGCTTGAGCTCTGGTCTCCTAACTGGCGTCCGGAGCACTGAAAAAAGGTAATGTGGTCAATTTGTCTCCATGGAGGAGCAGTGTCCTGATGCTTCCTATTTCTCCATTCTCCTGATGTCCTATGATGGGTGTTGATTTTGCACATCAGTATTTTAATGACTGCCTGTGAGTTTAGTAAGCAAGATAACCTGTTTTGGGTCTTTTTGCTGTGTCTCCGTAAATTCCTAGGCTTGTCGGCAAAGACAGGCAAAGAATATTCTGTAGAGTGCTATGGGAAGATAAGGAAGCTGTGGCCCAAGTGTTCATACTCATTGACAGGGATGATGATGGGGGTTGGTAAAGGAACAGAGGGTGTTAGGATGGATATGACCAAACTGGGACAATTATCCATGATGAGATTCTTTCTGCCAGAAGAGACCAAGGGTATAAAACACTTGGAGTAAAACTGCACCCTAAGTCAGTTACATTTGCAGAACAGTGTCTTTGAACATAAGGATCAAAATCCTTTTTTTTTTTTTTTTTTTTTTTTTAATTTATTTCTGAAAGAGAGAGACTGCATGAGCAGGGGAGGGTCAGAGAGAGAGGGAGACACAGAATCTGAAACAGGCTCCAGGCTCTGAGCTAGCTGTCAGCATAGCCCGACGCGGGGCTCAAATCCACAAACCGTGAAATCATGACCTGAACCGAAGTCAGACGCTTAACCGACTGAGCTACCCAGGCGCCCCCAAAATCCATTTTTTAAACATACACATTCTGTTAAGGGACATTTGGAAACTCTGAAAAGGTACCCAATCCATGCTGAAAGTAGGCATTTCATATATAAAAGTGGATTAATCATTCACTGAGACATTGGGAATGTTAGACATTTAAAAGTGAAGATAATAATTCTAAAGACAATTGATTTGAGAAATTTTTTTTGGGTGGGTTTCGTATTCTTCCACTCACATAATCCCTTGTTCCAAAGTCTCTAATATTGATAAATATGGTATGATCTTTAACCAAATTTCACTGTTCAGTAGTTATCACATAATACTTAGTTTGGAGCAAGTTTTCATGTGTTGTGGACATAGGGAGTATTTAGTGAGTCCTGTATCTTCCATAATTACTGGAGGCATTTTAATGGAGACAGAACTTACCAACACAGTCTGGGAAAAATGGTAATCAAGGGTCAAATCCTAATAGAC